TAAAATCATAACAAAATAAAACATCAAAAAAAAATTTGATGTTGATAACTTTAAATTTAATGTTGATTAAAAGTTAATCTCTTAAGGAACTTTTTTATTAAAATTGAAATTCTTTTTTAATTTATAAAAATTTTATATAAATTTAATAATTTAAATAAAAATTTATAATATTTTAATATTAACAATATCTTTATTAATATATCATCTTTAATTCTGTTTACTTTAAATAAAATGTAATTTGACATTTTACTTTCGTGTTTCACTTTCGTAGAATTTCTTACATATTCTGGATGATCTATTTAAAAGAATTATTGAACCTTCTGAGAATTTTACGGCTCACATAATCGTCGTTCGTGTTTTACATATACGATTATTAGTAATATCATCGGTATATGTGTTCTTTGTCATCTTCCATGTATTATTATGCATTATTTCACAAATCATCGAGCGAGCATTCGGTGATAAACAACAGAATTTTAAACATTAGTGAACATTAATATTTAAGATGTTTATAAAATAAATGATTTTGTATATAACAAAATATACAGAATTAATATATGAAGAATTTAAATAACATGAATAGTAACAGTAAAATATTTTCTATCAATTCTTGAGATATAATTAATAAAACGTTGTCCTATCTGTCACAACATCTTTTTAACATTATAACATCTTTTAAACATTAAATATCTTTACTGATGACTAAAATGGTTAATTTATTTACTAACTAAATTTCGGATCTAATATGATTTGATAAATTAAATTTTACAAGCGCTAAATATAAGTAACAAATTTTATTTTTCAAGATATTTATGTAATCTTATACTCTCGCGCGCGCACGGAAATTTAATTTCAGATTTAATTAGCAAGATATTCGATATTGGAGTTAGGGAGTTTGAAACTAAAAAAAAAAGTGATGGAGTCTGCATTTTCACTAAACAGAAATGAATCAGAAAATTCTTTCAAGGAGACATTTTTATCACTGTGAATCTCACTCATCCAGTATATAAATGATAAAGTATCTCTAAAGCTTTCGATTAATCATTGGCATTCAATAATTGTTTTAAGAAATAAATAAATAATCTATAAAAGTATTTTTAAAATTTTTTTAGACAAAATCTCTTTAAACATTTCTTTTAAAAATTAATTTATAAAAATTTTTTATCTTTTAACGCTTAACTATCAATAATGTATATCAC